AAGAATTCTTATTAATCTGCTCCCAAGACAGTACAAAAGAACTGCATCAGACATTTATACGTTTACTAAATCCTTTCCTAAAGCGTAATTCCCCAATACAAATTGGTAGCTGAGGTCAAAATCACAGACTTTAAGGATTTTCTGCAACACACTTTCTCTTAGACCCTGGACTAATGACTTTTCCTCCATCCTTGTTAAAGTGGAACAACAAGTAGTTGGGGCCTGGATGAGAGGTGACGGATGGAGAGATGGGGTTGCGTTGAATGACAGCCTCTTTAAAGACAGTCACCCAAACTAGTCCCTAAAGAACTCTGTCCAACCACTCTTACAAAGTCTTCATAAAAAAGACACTGTATTCCTGAGTTCCCATGTATATGAAAGACCAAAATTAAAAGAGGCCCTGGACCAGGTGACAAAAAAGTCTTTTTTCTAGGCATATGTGCAATACTGCATTCCCTCCAGAGTAGGAGTACAATAGATTTTTTTTTAAAACCAAATTTGTATTGTAAGGAAAGATGCAGATAGTGTAAATGCTTCCCCACAAATCTGCAGATATCTCAAACCATAGCAAACAAAACAAGCAAACAAAAATTATTCTGTTCCGTGGATGAAAACATGATTGCAAGTATTTGTAATTCCTATTTTTCCTTTAATTATATAGTAGAATATCCCGCAAAATGTCTTATTTCTCTGACAAGCACTCTGTGAACAGCATTAAAGCAGAAGATGCTGTGGGATTCTCCTTGATTATCCCCTCCACTCTCCATTTTCACTAGCTTGCTTATGGTAGCTGAATATTAATGAGCTGAATGCAGTTGAAATTCGCTCCCCTCCCCAGCACAAAGCTTTATGAGTTAAGATTCCTTCAAGGGATTCCACCCACAATAGCTCTTCACCTGAGAGCTGAATTGCAACCTAGATGTCAAGCCGCCATCTGCCATGAAATGTACAAAGATTCACCATTGCCTGACCTAGGCTGAGAGAAATCAGTTCTGTTAAATTATAAGCAGTCATGATAGAGGCTCATGACACTTCATATAGATTAATCACCGACTCCATAGCTGATCGCTTCAAGCACTGCCAAAGGCCATTAACCCTATCTGCTCATTAGCATCCAGCGAAAGTGCCCTACACCTCAATTATTAATGCTGGTACACATAAGAGGGAAGCAGGAGAAGGAAAAATAGAAGTTATTGGTAGGATGCCCAGATACAACCAGGAAGTCTGAATCATGGCAATATTTTCTTTTTATACCCTTTAATAGCACAGAATAACTTTAGGAATGGAGGCCCGTAACTATCTGCTGGCATACCAAACGTGACTGATTCAAGTATTGTATATCTATAATCAGCCGCTGGGAAGAAATAAACACATTATCTAAGGCATAAGGTTATCACATACCACAGCACTCCATCCCTGATTTTCCCTTTAACATCCAATAGCGATACGGCATAATATGGTATCCATTTCATCTCCCAGCAAGCATGAAATGCACTACTTTGAGGATGGGGCACCAAGACTTTGCAATAATAAAGATTTGTAACAAGATCTCACTTGGCACTCTGTCCTACCAAGGGGGGGAAAAATCCTGCTCAGCTTTTCTAAGTCTATGAAATTACTTGGACAAGTACTCCAACTTTACGTTTCTGACTTTTGTGTATCATTTTAAAAAATACATCCACCAATCCCTTATTCTCAGGCCAGAAACGGTGTTGTAAACACCAGCAGCTGCTTAATATTTTTTGTTTTTGCTCTGCAAAGCTGAACTGCTGTACATACTCCAGAATAATTAAGGAGTCAATTGTTACTCTTCATTTGCTTAAAAAAAAAAGTGCTTTAAATTATTTATCTATGTTATGTATTGTGGGGCCTGCAGTCATCTCCACGACTGACTCATTTTGGCTCGGTGTCTTTAAACCAAGGGTTAGTTTTCAGTTGCAATGCCCTCTTCATTGCAGAGAATTTCCCTCTGTTCAAGAGGTCCAGAGACATTGTAAGGGCATAAAGAGGTAAGCACTGAGAACAGATTTCACTGTTATTCTTTGGCTGGGGGCAACACAAGTGAGACCTGGGGTGATGGACTGGGAGAACTTAGCTTCATGTTACCGTGGAGCTCACTGGGGGTCTTTGGGCCAATTACTAGCTCTTAGCCCTTAGAAAGCTATTGGTATAAGGACAAAATGAGGAGAAATTCCTGAGAAAGTAGCCTTGAGAGTCTAGAGGAAAGGCAAGGTTTTTTTTTAAAAAAAGTACCCTAGAAGAAATGGATTACCTGGACCATCTTTAGTCAGGGTTTAGGGATGGATATGGAATGGAGACAACATCAGTTGCAGTAATAGACAAAGTTTGTTGGGAAGCGGATAGGGGAATTGTGCCCATCTTGGTCATTTTAGATCTCTCAGTGGCTTGGCTCAGAGATTGGCTGGCTGGCTATTCTCTCGTGGATACTGTAGTGGTCAGTCCTCTCCACTCTTCTCTTTGACATTTACATGAAGCCACTGGGAGAGGCCATCCAACAGCTTGGGATCCAGTATTATCAATATGTTGATGATAGCCAGCTTTACATTCTTACCTCCAGACCAGATTGGTGATGCTTTTGAAGTCCTATCCCCATGTCTGGAAGCTGTGAGGATCGGCATAGGAAAGAAGAGGCTTAAATTGAACCCTACCGAGAAAGAATTGCTGTCTGTCCATCAGGGTTCTCTGTCCACTCCAGTGATGTTTTCAAAGGGTAGCACTACCCCTGAAGGAGCGGATCCACTGCCTGGGGGTCCCTCCAGACTTGTGGTTCCTGCTAGAGCAACTTCAGCTGGTGCACCAGTTATGGCCCCATGTGGGAGGGCCTTGCAACAGCAGCTCATGGCTGTGGCACCACCAGTCTAGTCTACTACAACATGTTCTACATTGTGCTGCCTTTAAAGACCACTTGGTTGCAGTGGGTTCAGAATGCTGCAGCCCAGTGGTGTTCACCAGTGAAATCATATTACACCTGTGCTGTGGGTTCTATGCTGGTTACCAATAGGCTTCCAGGTGCAATTTAAGTGCTGGTGTTAATCTATAATATCCTACATGGTTTGGTACCAAGTAATCTGCAGGCCACATTCTCTCATTGGAATTGGCCCAGCCAGTTTGATCTACCTGGGAAAAACTACTAGTGGCTCCTCAGTTTAAGGAGGTGAGGGGATCCAAGACTCAGAGGCACTGCTTTTCAGTAACAGAGATGGTCCTTGAAACAGCTTTCCAGGGGACACTTGGTCTCTTCCACCCTAGCTATCTTCCAGAAGCAGCTCCAAATGAAAGTGTTCTGGAAGGCATTTTGATTGTGATCTCATTTTGGCTGGGCTATAGCTTGGATTTGTTAATGAATTTTATTCTACATTTTTAAATTGGTTTGTGGGCCTTTTATTTGTGTATTTTTTCTTTTGCTTTTTATTATATATTGTTTATTGTGTTTTTATCCTGCAAACCACCAAGAATCCTTCAGGATTACGATGGTCTACAAATGTGATAAATAACAAAAAGAATGGTTGAGCCAGGGCAAATATTATACTTAGTAGAAGGCTTGCATTTGATGGGGGAAGGTGTCTCAAATGCTTCAGGACCTCTTTAGCTCAATTTTACTGTAATTATAGATTGAACCAATATCATTTTGTCTTTTGAGGTTAAAAGCAAAATCCTCAATGTATATATCACCCAAAAAATAATCAAAGAACTACAGTGGTACCTCTACTTACGAACGCCCCTACTTACGAAAATTTCGAGATAAAATCAGCTCTGGCCCCCAAAATTTACCTCTACTTACAAACTCGCCTCGACTTACGAGCCGTTTTTCCGCCCGTGCCACGTGGTCCGCGGCCATTTTCCGCCCGTTCCACGTGGTCCGCAGCCATTTTCCCGCCCATGCCACGTGGTCTGCGGCCATTTTCTGCCTGCTCCAGGTGGTCCGCGGCCATTTTTCCGCCCATTCCACGTGGTCCGTGGCCATTTTTCCGCCCGTTCCACATGGTCCGCAGCCATTTTTCCGCCCATTCCACATGGTCAGCGGCCATTTTTCCGCCCCTGACGCGTGGTCAGCAGCCGTTTTTCCGCCCGACGCGTGGTCCGCAGACGCCGGAACGGATTAACGGTAATTACATTGATCCTTACGGGAAAATTTACTTCAACTTGCGACCAAATCGACTTGCGATCAGAGTCACGGAACGGATTAAATTTGTAAGTAGAGGTACCACTGTATTTCACTGGATTTGTAAGAACAATTATTTTTTCTGTTTTGAATAATGCTCACTTTACTTTCACAAGTAAAAATCATTCCAGGAAGTTATTTTGTTAGTCATTTACTCTTTATGTATCCACTTATGGACATTTATTAATTATGTTTGCAGTCAAGAAAATGTTTTGATGTTTTCACATTTGATGTGAAATAATTCCTAAGCAACTCCACTCATGACCTATTTTGCTTCTCCTTTTGCCTCCACTTTAACTTAGACATACATGCCTTGAACATAATGCTATTATCTACAAGGACTAGGCACACCTTGAAAACGGTTGGGAAAAAGTGTTTCGGACCTCATGCGAGACTGCACATCTCTGCTTATAAAAGGAGCTGACTTTTTCAGGTTCTGGCAGAACCTGAAAAAAGATGTCACTTTTTAAAGGAATCCACTCATTCCATATGACTCTTCTTCTTCCAAGTTATTTTTTAACACTACACTTCCGACTATCTACTAAACTTCCATTATTATCCTTGAACGTTTCTCCCAGAGTCTCCAGTTCTTACTACACTGTAAATCATGTAGATAAATCTCACCTCCATAGCTCATTCTAAGCCAAACATTTACTATTAGCATAAATAGGGATTTTTTTGTCTCCCAAAGCATACAAAACCTAATTTTTTAAACCAAATTTCTCTTTAAAATTTGGCAAGAAAAAAATTATTATTCAACTGAAGACTTTAAAAGCAATTCTGAATCTATACTCATATGACATTTATACAAGTTTACCTGATTATCATATTTAAGAGACTGAGTTCCAACAAGAAATCGTATTGCATCAGTTTCTGCAGTTTGAGGTGTCAGTGCTCGTGCCTAAAAAATTGGGAAAAATGAAAATATAGTCATATCCAGCACACTTCAGTGTCTTGAAAAGTACATGACATCATTTATTAAAATACTTCTAAGCACATATTTAATAAGTCTGTATTAATAAGTCTATATTTTTTAAATTCAATTCCAATCCAATTTCTTTATCTTCTATCTTTTGGCACAAAAAAGTGATCCCATGGCTAAAAAGTATAAAAGACATTTCCAGAATGTATTCTCAATTCTTCTTTCATTTGTGGGAAACGTGCACAAAAGTGACAGCAGCTACATAGATGTTCAAAATAAAATGTTTTGCAGAAAGAGCAATTTGAGGAGGAGGTCCTAGAATAAATTAGTGAAAATTCAGTTTGACCAAGAAAAACAATCAGATGTCTTTAAAAAAAAGTTTTACTGAAAAACATACAGAATCGGATTCAACCCAAATTAACCATACTCCCATTGAAATTGCTATAGATAGTATAATGTATGCCTGAAAAAATAAAATCCATTCAACACTTCCAAGACAGTTCAATTGTTTTACCTGCAGTATTTATAAACCATTCACCATGAAGTACAAATAAACACAAATGCAAGTATGAATCATTAACACACTGTTACAGGTAAAATATATTTGTTTAAAACAAAGAGGATAGATCTAAGAGTTACATTAAGAGACCTAAACTAGCTCCTGGACAGTTTTGGTTGCTAATTTAAATATTAGGAATGACTACAATTTGGAACAGAGTGATTGATACTTCTGTTCAACACTGAAGAGATTTAAAACTTAAGTACTTTTAAAGAGGTCATTTTTGTTTCCTTATAACTTGTAAGTCAGCCTACTTCTTTAAACCAAAGAGAGAGAGAGATATTACTGGTTTCTAAATAAAAAACCCAAATTGTATTCACTCAAAAAACATAGCAGGTTATTTCAGTGGGACTTCTTTCACAGAAGGCAGCTTTGGAATGTAGCCACAGTTCTTACAAAGACAGATAAAACTAGAGGCACTTTTTATAGCCATATGCTTACAAATTAACAGAGTGGAAGCAATTATACTTATGCGGTCCTTTAGGAAGATGCTCAGGACTGCTTTGCTTCAAGGGCAATCCTAGCATAAACTTCTTGTGGGCATGCACATGAATTGGCTGGGGCCAAGCGTTTAAGAGGTGTGACTGCCTCAGAGATCCAAATACAGTGGGTTCCAAGAAGCATTCCTACAAAATTGTTTGCACAGCCCAAGTAGGTAAACTTTTGACTTGCCGGATTTGATACTTTGGAACCACAGTCCTACATTATATCCAAATTGTACTTTAACCAGGACAGAAACCTATTCAGTTCTTCAATGTAACAGGTTTAATCTCAGTGGAACCAAAGGTATCTTCAAGATAGTGCCAGCCAAAATTCAAGGCTATCTATATTGTACAAATATTTATTTATCATAAGGTAATCAGGTTTAAAACATTTTCAAGTATTAAAACAGAACTGTTTAGCCAGTTTTTTTCTATGGTCAATTTTTTAATAGGAAATCAGGTGCATAAAGCAACATAGTTCTTTACTCTAAAGATTGTCTGTCCCTATCAAGGATCCCAAGGTAACTCTCACATTTGTTTTCACTTTATTTTAAGCTGAAATCAAAACCAGCAACGAAAGGTGAAATCCTGGTACAGATCTCACAAATGAACAGCTTGCTGCCAGATACTTCATAAATATTTTGGAACTGTCTTAGGCAATCTCTGGTATTCCAGTCTCATACTGGTCTTAAGGTCTTTGCCCAAAATTGCTGTGATAATCATCTTCATATTAATTACCAAAGAACAAACTTGTCTTCTGCTCAGAAGAGGAGAGTTTGTTCTTCCTGCTATCAAATTATGTGCAGCCAGGTTTTTGGCACAGCTCCTCTATGGAACTTGATCAGGCTCATATACCAACTACATTTTGCTGGAATCAGTTTAATCAAAATTCTGGAAAGCAACACTCCAGATCCCCAGATGTGTGACAAATACAGCTTTGCAATGAGATTCTGGTCCTTCTAATGTGAAACTTGATTTTCAGTTTCTCAGTTAAGCTTTTCCTCAGTGGGTTTGCAATTGTTGACAAACAGTTGGATTGGAAGAAAGCTTCAGTGGAAAAAATTATCATGCAGCCTTTCAACAGAACTGTTGCTATCAACGAAATGCAAACATCCATTACCGTTAAATAACAAGTTATGGATGTAGAATAACACCCCCAAAAAATCTACTTTCCAATGATATTGGATATGGAAGACTGAATAGTAGTATGGAGCCAGCAGATTACTGCACTACTTTGGAATTGCTTAGATATCTCTTAGGACTGCCCTAATGTTCTGCCTTGCTGGACACCCAGTTTAATAAGATTCCCCATGGCCACATGAGTCAAATGTCATTGAAATATCTAGATAGGTGTTACTTTACTGCAAGTATTATATGAATATAAGAAGTAAGCTAATTTCACCTAATCTTCCAGGTCATCCAAACAATGTATATCATTCTTGTCAATTTACATCATCTTTAAAATGACTTTAGTCATATTTCATTCATCTTGAAATGACATCATTACATATATAATGTAAACTGACCTGAGTGATGTCGGTTTAATGTAAATTAAGGCACATTTAAGGGCCTAGTCTACACTACTTCAGATGCACCGGGCTTACATCCTGGGACTTTTGGTGGGATGTCTCAATGGAAATTTTATCTGTCACATACAAGGTCCACTAAATGGCAGTCCATTAAATCAAGATATATTAACAGAAGCATAAATATATTATGGCCTGTTGGGAATAAGGAATACCATGTAATGTTGAGTAAGTGCAAGGCTTGGATTTTTAGGGAATGTGAACCCTTAATTCGACATGCAGATAATTAAATGGCAAAAAACTGCTTTCTTCCATACATATTTAAACATAAACTATGTGGCTGGTTGTCTTCGGTGGCCATATTGACAGGAGTTACCAGTAGGCTTCTTTCATTGTACACTTTTATGCAACTAAAAGTGACCTTAATTTGGCAGGCTTCTTCTCTGGACAATTTTTAAAATTGTTTTTGGTGGCTTTACATCATTCTCAGAAAGATTTCAGCTAACCTTGCCAGACTATTGTAAACTCTAAATCATAAATCCGAACTCAATAATACCCACTAATTATTCCAAAGTAACTAGTGCAGAACAGTCAAAATCCCACTGTATTTGCAGGCCGTGTTAGAGAAGGAGCTGCAGAAAAGCCCACAGAAGCCCATCTCATCTTCATGAAAAGATTTCTTCATAATAAGAGTTGTTTATCATTAACAGGGCACAAAGGGCACTTTTGATTTATAATATGGGACATTTCATTTGGTAGACAGAAAGAGATATTGGTTACATTCTTTAATGAAACGTGTTTCACAGCTTTAGCACATTAGCGAATCCACAGATTTCATTGCATTTACAGTTGATATTTGTTTGCCTTTTGTATTGGTCATATCTACATGCCACTGTTCCTTTAGGGGTACAAGGCAGCTTGCAAAGCATTCCTTGCACTAATTTCCCCCAGGACAGCGACTCTGCAAAATTCGTTGGATTGAGAAAAAGAGGCTGTACCGAAGTCATCTTGCAGGTTTCCGTAATTGAAAGTGCATGCGAACCGGGGTCTCCCCACTCCTAGTCCAATTCCTAGCCAACTGCAGGAAAAAACGCAAAAGTCTAGAAAAAATATAAAGTCAGTTATGATGAACAGCTTCCTCTTCCATTACAAAAAAAAATAAAAATCCCAATCCATCATTTTCTCATTTACCTGGAATTCCAGCCCATAAATCACGGGAGCATCATCTTCCATGGCTGCAGCGGTGGAAGCAGCAGCTACCGCCACCTTCCTCCACCACCCGTAGCCCCGGCGCAGCCACGCGCGCAAGCACTATCGCGATGGGAAGCCCTGCCGCTGGGTTCGGCTCTCTCTCTTTTTTTTTCCCCCTCTTTCGAACACAATTAGAAGAAGGCGAACCTACAACAAACCTTCTTGAGCCCACCTCGGCTTCCGTTCTTCTTCCACTTCCGGGGAAAGAAGAAGACGCTCCGAAGGCGTTCGTTTACGTAAGGGAGGCGAAACTGGGTCGATAGGGAAGGGAACTTGGACGCGCAGGCGCACTAAGGCGGAGAGGTTTTCCCTTCCATATTCGTTTTTTCTGCAGTAGTTTAGATGGGACGCCGTTGCCGCTGTCACTGGAAGTAAAGCGTGGGGTAGGTGGGGAATGTCCTCCTCGACTGCTTTTCTCTCCTTCTGGTCTTTTAAAGTGGCTTATAGAATAAGGATCTCACCAACAGCGGATGAGATGAGTTATCCCATTTCCCTCTTCAAGTGGAACCACTGTTAGCTTTGAATAGAGATATGCGAATACAGAATAAACCAATAAATAAAATCCAGGCACGTAGAAAGCTATCCTTTTTCCTGCTAGGTGTAGGGTTGGTGAGTTATTTTGTTGTTGTTGTTGTTTTTAAGTTATACCGCAGCGTTCAGTCACGAAAAATGCAAGTATCTGCAGTTGAGAAACAGAATTATCACTTCATCAAGGAAGTATGTAGGAGTTAGTGCAATTCCTGGGATAGAAGGGTTGCTCCAAAATGAGTATGTCTTAATGTTAATTATATTCAGTTATCTGTAAAATGGTTTGTCACAATCATAGACAATATTTTCATGGTACAAATTGACTCAGGCCCTCCTTTGATTCCTTTGCCTATTGATAATTACAGAAGTACTCTTAGAAAAATAATAAATGCTCCATTTTACAGATGGGTCCTTGAGAGACAGTTAAAGAGGATACCAAAACCTGGCCAGAGCAAATATTTAAGGTAGGTTTACATATGTACATCCATTCTTTTAAAAATGAAGATGACGCGAAGCAGGGAAGTTCAGATATAATGGGTTTCTCATTTTGTTTCCTGGTAGTCTGCAGTAGCACTCTGTTTCTGATTTCATCATAAAGAAGTATCTTGTTAAATATGTGTTAATTGTTTCTGCATGCATTTCAATAACTATCTTTAACATATACCCAGAGTGTGAGTCAGTACACTGCATGTGCCTCCTAGTTAGTGGGATGTTGGCTTGGAAGGTAGTCTCTAAATTAGAGGTCCTAACTTGCATTGAAAAACATATGTATGCTTGAGGTAGGCTTTGGTTGTGTTTGTGACAAACTTGTCAAAATGTACCAAAATTGAAAGGTATTTTCTTTAGCAGGGAATGTTGAATGTGACATAGGTAAAACTAAGGCTGGTGACCTAGTGTACACCTTTTCTACCTTACTAAAACGTTTTATGTGATGGCCTCAATTGACCTTCTATCCATGGTGTAATGGGCAGCAGAGGTCAACATGGCTTACCTGGTAATGACCATGGCATATGGACGATTGTGATTTTGTATATAAGAGTAGTAAATAATAAAGACCATTAATTAATAGAAAGAAAGATACATATTGTATATTTGTAAAACTAAGGGAAAGGCTGGAGTAGATCTAAATGAATATGGTCTAAATTTATGTAGTGGAATAAATCATTTGGAGACCCAAGAATGCATGAGAATAGTGACTGCTTGGTTAGGATCTTCTTAGATTATGTGTTTGTTTCAGTGTAAATGTAACTCTGTGTACACATGGGCAGAGGAATGAATATAAATCTAAAAGTGTGGTGAATGTGATTGTTTATGATGAAAGACTGAGATAATAAATGAAGAATACAAAGATAACAAGAGATCCTGAATGTGGGACACATTATTTTCTGGCAAGAATGGATCTTAGAAAGAATGGTCATGGAAAACAAAGGAAAGAAGTGGAAAAAAAAGAAGAAGAATGAAAGCAAAATGATTGCAGGAAGAGACAACGTTAGTCCTGTATGAAAATGTATTAGAAGATAGATTAACCTCCCAAAAGAATGCATGGAAAATGGATGTAAGAAAAGAGGGTGTGGAAACTGCTTGAAACTGAATGAGAAGAATTATGTTATAGGGTGCCACAGAATTGTGGAGAGATGCTATAATGGGATGTATAAAAAAAGGATGGGTGATGAAACAAATAGAGAAGTGGATTAAAAGCAATGCAAAGTCCAAGAAAGTTGTGGTTGGGTGGAGTTGTTGCAGTCCTCAAAAAGAGAATTGTGAGGACTCTAAAGAACAGAGGCAAATGTATGAAGTGTTGTATAGATGTAACGGATTGGTTTGCAAAGAGTAACATACAGAGAGGGTTACCTTGCTTGTGGTTTTGCTTGTGGCTCTGAACTGTGGTTTTGTTTGTGATGCACTTGTCAAAATGTTCCAAAAGTGACTGGCACTTTTCTCACCCTTAGCAAGGAATCCTACATGTGGTACAGATATGACTATTGTAAATCTGCTAATATAGTTTAATCCTTATGTTATTAAAAACCATAATATGAACATCTTAGTTGGTCAAAGCCATGATGGGTGATAAAGGTCAATATCTATGGGCCCCTCTGCTGACAACTATGGCATATGAAAACTTTGAAAAATAATGAATGAGATTATTATAAACTAGATTTGGTTATATTTCGTCCTTTTTTTCCCTTATCACGTGCATTTAATTTATTTTGCCGACTGTTTCTTACTCCTTTTCTGTACTTTGCATACCATTGCTTACCCTGAAATGGAATGGTGTGATGGATAGGCACAATATGTCTGTTTTTAACATGGCCCTTCTCAATTTCAGCTGTTAATCAAAATTTTTGTCATTTTAATTTTTTTAACCTGAATTTATTATATTTATATTCCAAGTTATAAAAAGTGAATGGCTTTTTGCTCTTCCTGGACTTATCTGATTGTTGTTTCACCTAGTGAAGCAACAGAAGAGTTTTCTTCTACTAACAGAGTCTATCATTTTTAAATTATAGGAGAAAAGGTTATTTTCTTTTATGAAATAAGTATATATGAAGTTTCATGAATGTCATCCACACTATGTCATAAATCATTTTTGCTTCTTTCTTTATCTATGGCTTAGCCATAACTAGGTTACGTGTTTGGCAAAGTTTGCATGCCAGTTTCAGACCTTGATTAATATGAAAGCTTGTATTAAACATAGGAGGGAAGTAGGGGATATGTTCCTGAGATGTGCTTTATCTTTGTATATCCTGGTTTGGTAGGACCAAGGGTGTAGCCAGAAAATGGCTTTTCTTGAGGATCCAGAACATCTGGGGCCAGGTGGCTTTCAGACAAAATATTTCAGTGTGCAGAACCACATTCGTAAACATGTAACATGGTCAGAGTATTAGGTTATGTGTTAAGGATCAGTGCTGAATGTAATGAGTCTCCCAAGTCTTCCGCATAGAAAATATATCTACAGAGTATTCCCTTTGTTATACTTACTTAGATAGAGCAAGATATCTGATGACATCACAAATAGTTATTACACTAAACATCACAGTAGATGCACTTTGTACATACCATATTGAAAAAAAATATTTGTAAAGGACCAATCATTTGTTGTTGTCAAAGCAAGATATTTTTACTGCTATGACTTCTTGAACATGAATTTCATCATTAACAGTCAGGTTCAGTAGAGACAGAATTGCTTTCTTTTTCAAAGAGAGTAGAAGTAGTTCATCAGAACGGAAAGATAGTTGGTTTTATCTTTGGAAACGATGTTTTGCTCTCTTAAATTTCATAATTATGAACTTCACGAAAGTTGCTTTCAGTTAAATGTGTTATGTTCAGAAAATGCACTATATGCTCTCAGATTATTCTTAATTTAGAATCAATCTAACTGCATATATTTTGCTTTCCACATATCTTCCACATGCAGTTGTCATAACATAGTGTGACACGCTTTATCCCAAAGCTTCTGAAATAAAAAATGATAAAATAAATATTAACTATTTCTGCAGCTCAGTTTAAATGCATTTCCATGTTCTGGAGTGCTGAGTTGTCAGGAGCAAAAATAGGCCACAGAAGAGTTAAACATTAATTTTAAGTTGGCATGTTGACTTTGCAGTGATGTTACTTCCAATGTGGCAAAACAATTTAAAACATTTATTATCTTATCAAATTTATGACAGAAAAACTTGGAATGGTTATGTACTTTGACCATTAAGCTTTCCAATAAAATTATTCAAACAGAATTCTGAGTCTAAATGAGACCATTAAACTTGCAAACCTATTGAACATTTTATGGTTTTTACCTCTCTTGATAAACCTGCCTGCAACTGATACATTTTCTGTGCCACGTTAATCTCTTGTTACCTCTGCTTTCAGGTTAAAAAAAAATCTACCTAAAGTCTTGCTATATATTTATTGAATTTGTTGAAATATCCTGCGTCTTATTACACTGATTAATTACTTGACCTTTTTAATTACTGGAAAGTATATATTGCTTCAGCGTATATTGCATTGCCTTAACAGAATACCTTCAACTGTAGAAATACTGCTTTGTTGTGAAAAGAAAATGGGCAACCATGGTCATCATCATCATCATTAGTTTCCTTAAGATACATGAAGAAGCCATGAGCAACAGAACCATGTAAAGACAGATGGTCATTCCTAGGAACTTCAAATGTTCTATTATTTAGATGATACCTACTCTATTTGTATGTTCATTGACTAATAGGTACGAATCTCTTGTATCCATTTCTCTTTTTCCCATGTCATCTTATTAAAACATGAATTTGAATAAACAATGCTTTATTTATACACCCACATAAACACATACATACATACATGTTGCTGTCTTGAATTGGCCTTTGAATATCAAAGCCAGTGAGAGAGAAAGGAACTACATTCCATTCTCTTTTCTATATATTCTCCAGTAGTACCAGTCGTTTGATTAATTACTGTTAATGGTACTATTATTATCTCTACTCCAACTTTACATTTGGGTAGATGTAATAGTGGTAGGCTGCTACTATTATACTGGGATGGATAGATAGATAGATAGATAGATAGATAGATAGATAGATAGATAGATAGAAAGAAATGGAGGTGTCAGGAAAGGATTATGTCCGTGTCTTCTAGTTTAAAGGCAGGGGTTAAGGCTTCTTCCTGTCTGGTAGAGGAAACTGCTTTTTTCAGTCTTA